CACATTTGTGAAAATCGACATAGTGGATGAATCAGGTTTCCACAGTGAAGAAACAATTATTTCAAGGCAAAATCCTAGGAAATGAGTGATGGTAGATAAGGCCTGGAATTTGGGGAGTCAGAAAAAGTATAAATATCTTCAGAGAAGCTTTTCCTAGTCTGTAACCTGTAGTTACATCTATTTATCTACTTAAAAGTCATCTCTAAAATCTAGTCCAGGGATACCTCCATCTCTCTTTCATCCATCTTATAAAATACACCTTTCAGAGAACTCACTCCGAAGGCCATTTCTAGGATGGAGACAACCCCCCGACTCCCTGACACCATTAGTAGGATATACACCTTTGACGTGTTTCCAGTAATATTCCAGGTTCATCTCCTCAGTAAAACCTTCCCAATAATTTCTTCCCAGATATCTGGTATATCTTTCCTAGACTGGAAAAAAGTCTTCAGGTTACTCATAAACCAATGATCTGTTTTGAGCATTTTCTTCTCTATTAGGATAACAAAATGGTAAAATCATGGTTAGGACAAGGTAGCGATATTTCAGTGGGAAAAATGCATTGGATTAAAAAACTAGGTTTCACAATAGCAACTGCTGGCTATTGTGAGCAACTGGAACTCTCATTCGTTGCAGGTAGGAATGCAAAAGGTACAATTACTTTGGGAAATAGTTTGGCAGTCCTTTCTAAAGTTAAACATACACTTTCCATATGACTCAGTAATTCTGCTCCTGAGTATTTACCAAGAGAAATATAACTTATTTTTACACAAAAAATACATACACAATTGTTTACAGCAGCTTTATTTACAGATGCTTTCAAATGTCCATCAACTGGTGAATGGATAAAAAAACTTTGGTATAGCCCCGACCGGTGTGGCTCAGTTGTTTGAGTGTCATACTGCAAAGCTGGGGGTCACCAGTTCGATTCCTGGTCGGGGCACATGCCTGGGTTTTGGGTTTGGTCCCTGGTCCAAGTGCATGTGAGAGGCAACCAACTGATGTTTCTTTCTCACATCAATGTTTCTCTCTCTTCAAAAACAAATAAATAAAATCTTTAAAAAAAACTTTTGTATATCCATACAATGGAATATTAACTCAGTAAAAAAAAAAAAAAAAAAAAAAAAAAAAGGATGAAATACCCGAAACAGATCAGTGGTTGCTAGGATTCCCTTTGGGGAAGAGGGTCATTATGAAGGGGGTGTAAGGGAACTTCCTGGGGATGGACTACTTTACATATCAACTGTGGTGACAATTACACAACTGTGAGAGTTAGTAAAAAATCATAGAAATGTATACTAAAAAGTAAATTTTACCATATGTATATTATACCTCCATAAGTCTGACTTAAAAAACTGGGTTTATCTCTTAGTACTAACTAGCTTGGGCAAGCCACCTAAAACTCATTTTTCCTTTTATAAAATGGCAATTATACTAACTCTAAAAGATTTTTGGTGAGGAAAAGATGAAAAAAAAACTTTATAAACTTTAAAGTTCCACACAAATATTGTGCACTACCCATTGGCCATACAATGGGGAATAAGACAGAGGTACAGTAAAAAATTTACAGTCTCGTATAAGAAAGATAAAACAAATAATGATTAAATAATGTGGGAATCTAATGACATATGAACAAGGCAATAAGGGGTTAACAAGAAGGTGCATTCCTGGAATAAGAATTAATGCATAAATAATAAAGCATAAATTAATGCATGTGGAATAAAGTATCACAAGTTGAATATAGGGGAGAATCCAGAAGGCAGAGGAGTGAGTGGAAGTCACACTGACCTCCTCCCAGGACCAGTCTGTAATTATAACTAAGTTGTGGAGAAATCACCTGTAACGAACAACTGAACAATAGCGAGAGAGGAGCCTTATAACGTCGGACAGACAGAAGAATCAACTTTAGCACAACCTAACTTGTAAGGAGTGCAGTAGAGACTTGAGAAGGCAGGTGAGGCACCCATGGGTGGCAGCACCAGATGGATAGTGAAATGGCCAGTTGGATACCCTGAGAAGATTGGGGTCTAAGCCGTAAGCGGGGATCTCCAGCCTACAGCACCAGAGCCCAAAAAGTACACAGAAAACAGCCAGTTGTGAAAAGCTTCAGGGTTGCTCTCTGCCAGAGACAGGCAGCTGGAGATGCAAAGAGATGTTTAAAGGGCCAACAGAACACATTTTATTTGCAGCCACTTACCCTGGGCTTTGGCAAAGGTGGGGGCAGAGTGGACTAGAGACACCTGAGGAGAGATGGGGAAGGAGGCTTTAGGGAGAGAACTGAGAGAATAGTTGGCAGGATCCTGGTGATGACTCATTCCCCATATGGCAGCAGCCATCTTTCTCAGGCAGACCACGCCCCTGAGTGGCAACAGCATGAGAGGACCCAATAACCCAGCCCCCAGGAGGGACCCTGCCCTGCCCTGTGGTGTCTCTAAGTCGGCCTCCTAAGTGCAGAGTGACTGGATTTAACAGCTGAAGGATTCAGCCATAGACAGTAGATTCTTGAAAGTCTCGAACAGACTGCCTAAAGTCAGACAGGATCAACATCTGACATCAGCAGAAGCAGACCCAGAAAGAAAAACAGCGGTTTCTTACCATAGAAGTTCACACCACAAAGTCAGGAAGTCAAGACGGATCAATTTAAGAAGCAGAAGCAGAAGCAGAAGCAAAAAAGGAAGAGTCTTACAAATAATGGGAAGATAAAGAAACACCCCCCAGTCGAAGGGAAAGGAGGAATCCCCAGAAAGAGAACTACATGAGATAGAGGCAAGTAAACTAACAGATACTGAGTTCAAAACAACGGTTCTAAGAAAGCTCAGTGAGCTCAGTAAGCTCAGAGAGAATTACCAAAAACTCCAGGGAAACTAGGAGGAACTTGGTGCAATCTATATCAGCATGAAAAAGGACAGAGAAACTATCAAGAAGAGACAAGAGGAAATGAGGAATACAATTTCTGAATGGAAGAACACAGTAGAAAGAATCAAAAGCAGGATAGATGAAACAGAGGACTGAATCAGAGAGCTAGAGGATAAGGTAGAAAAAATCCCAGAAAGAACAAGAAAATGAAAAAGGACTCAAAAAGAATGAAGAGGCATTGAGGGAAATGCAGGACAACCTGAAACATAATAATATCCATATAATAGGGCCACCAGAAGGAGAAGAGGAGGAACAAGGGATAGAGAACCTGTTTGAAAAAGTAATGATGAAAAACTTCCCTAATTGGAGGAGAGAAAAAGTCACACAAGTCCAGGAAGCACAGAGGGTTCCATTCAAGAGGAACCAAATGAGGCCCACCCCAAGACACATCAAAATTAAAATGGCAAATATCAAACACAGAGAATCCTAAAGGAAGCAAGGGAGAAAGAGGTAGGGGCATATAAGGGAGCCCCGTTATGGCTAGCAGCTGACTTTTCAACAGAAACACTACAAGCCAGAAGGGAATGGCAAGAAATATTCCAAGCAATGAAAAGCAAAGGCCTGCAACCAAGGCTGCTCTACCCAGCAAGACTCTCAATTAAAATAGGAGGTGAAATAAGGGGTTTCCTAGATAAAAGAAGGCTAAAAGACTACACCTCCACCAAACTAGCATTGCAAAATATGCTCAAGGGACTGCTTTAAGAAGATGAAGAAAAAGAGTCTGTGAATACCCAGTGTCTTTCACAGTTACCAATACTTGATATTACCAATATTTGTAATTCTTATTAATCTGATCGTAACAATGAAGTGTTATTTTGTTACTTTATTGCCTGTTGAAACTAAACCTGTTTTTGTATATTTCTTGCCTATTTCTATTATTTTTAAAAAGCTTTAAATTACTTTTTGGTATTCTTTATATATTTTTTGATTAAATGTTTGTAGAATATTTACCCTAGAAAAAAAACAAAACTATTAACCCTTTTTAGATGTGTTGCAAATACTTTCCTACTACTTGTCCTTTAACTTTTTAATATGTATATTACCATATAGTCTTAAATGTTTAATATAGTCATATTGTCAATATTTTACTTTATAGCTTCTGGGTTTGAATATTTTACTTCAGGGTAAGAAAAATATTATTTTGTATTTTCTCCGAAAACTCCTTAGATTTTACATATTGATTTTTAACTCACTTGAATATTTTTTGTATAATGTGTGAAATAGGGCTCTATATTCGTTTTATTTCAACTAATAGGTCCATGCACCTTATTTGTTGAATAAGTGTTATTTTCCTGATTGATTTGAAATACCAATTTAATCATATATTACATTATTAGACAGATATATACATTTGTTTCTATAATACTCATTTCATTTCACTGATCTACTTGATTATTTCTCTGCTGGTGTCATGTTGTTTTAATTGCTGAGATTTTATAATGGATTTAAATTTTTTAATATTTTATAATGGATTTTGATATTTAAAAAATAAATAAATAAAGTCTGCATTAAATAAAAAAGAAATAAAGAAAGAAGGAACTCCTACCTTTTGTGACAACATGGATGGAACTGGAGAATATTATGCTAAGTGAAATAAGCCAGTTGGCGAAAGACAAATAGGATACGATCTCACCTATAAGTGGAATCTATTCAACAAAATAAACTAACGAACAAAATAAACCACAGGCATGGAGACATGGAGCAGACTGAAAGTGGCCAGAGGGGATGGGGAAGGAGGACAATGGTGGAAAGAAGGAGAAGGGACTAAACAAAGAACATGTATGAATGACCCATGGACGTGGACAACAGAGTGGGAACTGACTGTCGGAGAGGGGGGCGGGGTGGGATGGATGGAGGAGGGCAAAGGGGGAAAACTGAGACAACTGTAGTAGAATAAACATGATTTTAAAACAGACCCCCTCCCCTAAAAAAAACAAGTTGAATGTAAAGGGCCAAGTCACAGTGAGATGAAAAAGTGAAAAGTCATTAACAAACATGGAAAACTCAAATCCAATAATCTTAACCCAACATGGACTTTAAAAAATCCTAAAGTAGTAAAAATTATAAAAGAATGAAAAAAGTACCTCACGATGATTTAGAAGTTGCTCTAAATCTAATGCCATTTGATTCTTCATCTGTAGTAAAGCTGACTTTTCTTTATTTAAATTGCTGGAAAAAAAAAAAACACACCAAGGTTTAAAGTCATATTATTGGTTTACATTTAATTAATAAGTAGTAAATAGCAAAAGGCTAAAAAAAATCTGATGTTTTGAATTAAAGATAAATTAAATTTAAAAACATTTTTAAAGTATGTATTTCATTTTTTACTTATTTTTTTAATTGAATTTATTGACACTGGTTAACAAAATTATACAGGTTTCAGGTGCTTAATTCCACAACACACCATATGAACACTGTTTTGTATGTCCACCACCCCAAGCCAAGTCTCCTCCCCACACTACCCACCTCCCCCACCCCCGCTGCCCCCAGCAATGACCACACCATCGTCTGTGTCCATGAGTTATTTCTCTCTCTCCCTTTTTTTGTCAATCCCTCCCCTCTCCCCATCACCCCAAGATAAATTAGATTTATAGCTCATAACGATATCAGACCAGTCACTGTAATGTTTGATCTAATCCGTCGCCTAGTTATTTTGTATGCAGACTTTTTCTTTTAATAATCACTTGACGATGCAACTGAGATGCTTTCTGAGAGTACTTTCCTGCCTAGTAGGGACACAAAATTAGTATTTTTCAAGATGACTGTTTACTCTGAAGAGGGACTTACATAAAAGATTAAAAGGAAATATTTATGGACAAAATAGTAAAACTCTATAGACACTGGAAGTCAAATTAAAACATCATTAAAACTGAAGTAATACATATTTTATAATTTACTACATACTAAACTACTAGATATATAACTGAACTAGATAAATGAATCAGATATTTGCTCTGTAGTAAACATGAGAAAAAAATTTTTGTCTCCAAATTCTTAGTTCAAACTTCAGTTTCTAAGTCTGCATTGTGAATTTCCTTTTGATGTGACATATTTTCTTTTAAGATTTTATTTATTCATTTTAGAGAGAGGAAGAGGGAGGGAGAGAGAGGGAGACAAACATCAATCAGTTGCCTCTCATACACACCTCAACAGAGGACGAACCCGCAGTCCAGGCATGTGCCCTCACTGGCAACCTTTCGCTCTGAGGGTGGAAGCCTAACCACCTGAGCCACACTGGTCAGAACTGATGTGACCTATATTCTGATAGGAAGGGGTAAGAAGCCTAATTGTTAAGGACATACTATTTTAAAGGATAAATACTTGAGGCTTATCTTATACTGTCTGGAGTTTAATTATTCAACATATAAAAATTAATTAAAAACATTACATGAAATATTCTTTGAAAGCCACTTAAATGAACTTACTCAGCCAGCACTACAAGAAAAGTAGTAATGAATTTAAGCTACATAATTCCTTAAATGTCAAAACAAAGTCTATGAAGGTAAAGTTAATGAGAATTATTTTTATTGAATAGGTAAGAAGTTTTATTATAACTTTAAGAAAAAAGAAAGCCACAAATTTTTAAACTGTAAGGTAGGAAGTATTTTTTTTTTTTTTTAAATTCAGGGTAGTATAGTAGGTACTCTGGAAAAACTGGTAATTCCAAGGACTGAAGAGGAAAAAGGTCACATTCTCCTCCTTCCTAGTAATTGAGGACTTCCCCATGGAAGCTTCATAGTTTGTTCTCTGAGAAGAAGACCAGACGCAATTCTGTGTTTCTAGTTGTGCCACTGACTCAACTGTGTGGTGTAAAGTACACCCCACTCCCCAATGGAACCTCAGTTTTTACATCTGTAATAGTGGAACATAACACTTGTGCATGTCAAAGGGATATAGAATTATCTAATGAATAATTATATAAAGCATCAAACACATAAAACTCTATATAAAGACTATATAGTTTTACTAGTTTAGATGAAAAAACAGGCATCAGAGGAAAACAGTAATTAAATGCCAATAAAGGGAAACGTAGCTCAGCAGAAAAACAAATGGACTTTTAGAGTTAGGCATCAGAGATCTCACTGAGCTGCAGAACTGAGACCTAAATGACATAAAGGAAACTGGGGGCCATGTTCTGAGAGCCCCCCAGAGCATGGTAAAGATCAGATCTATCTGTAACTCTGGAATTCTAATCTATCTTTAGCCAGCACCATTGTACAGTCGAGTAGCTCTTTTTTCATGGCTGAGTAAAGAAAAGTTTTTTTCTCTAGTAAATATTTTTCAGAATTAAAATAAATATCCAGTAAATAGAAATAGAGTTTTCCAAGAAACATACATACGTTAATGTTCTGATACATGTACTCACGTCTACACAGTACTTATGTACATATACTCACATGCAGCACACACACACGCACACTCCCAAATACCACCAGGTCCACTAAATAAAATGCAGTGTAAAAGGAATGGAATGTTGCTGTAATTAAAGGACTTTAACTGCATAATCATTAGAAATGCTTTATATGTAGACTTATAATTCTTCCAGAACAAAGTAAATATTCCTTTTTTAAATAGCTAAAAAACCATGTGACATGGAACAAAAGGCAGGTGGACAAATTTGTTTACAGAGCAGCTGTGTTCTGTCCGCAGGACACTGGTATTGCCACAAACAGTATGGCCTCCACAGACAATACCTGGGTATACATTTTCAAAGTCTTAGCCTTCTCTATAGGTAATATACTCTTAAACCACAGGAAGACCACCTCCAACATGTGGGTTTCTAAAACTAAATATGATGATTATTATACTGTGTTCATCTCATATGTATGTAATTACTCAATAGAAGTTCAGTTTCTGTAACACACATTTCCTAACAGTGGAAAATAACCTTTAAAAATATAAAGCTTCTATGTGTGACTCATAAAGCACCTACAAAACAAATATCCTTATAAGCACATCTATCATGAATGGTATATTACACCCATAATTGTTCAATTCATTGTTAATTATTACTCAGGAATTCATGTTTATGGCTTTATTTCACCTGCTATATGAAAACATATTCTTGCTATCTTGTTCTTTAACTTCCTGGATCAATATACCCTGGCTTAGTCGTACAAAAGAAGTTCACTTTTTTGTACTCTTTTCTTCTTAAACTGCTAGTTATGACTAAACCAAAAACTGACAACTGGAAAATAAAATTTATGCTAATTATTGTTTCTATGCTTCCTTCAGTTCTGAATTACAGATCAAACTGTATAACACAGACTGTCTCTTGTGGCTTGGTGGAGAATTAACAGTATTACCTTTAGGACAAATTACTATTTTAGTGATAGGGGAATTTAAAGTGGGTAATAGGGATATCTCCAAAGAGATTAGCTTTTAACGTGTTTATAACGATTTCATTTTAGTGCATACTTACTCTAACCTTTAGACACTGAATATGTTGTATAATTAGCTAAATTTGCAAGTTGTGGGTATGGTATAATGGCAATGTTTTATTTTCTAAGAAAATGATAAAATTAGTTCTTTAAAGAGTTTTTATTCTATAAGTTGGAGAAACATTTTAAAATACAATCAATTAATGTAAATATTCTTTACTATTAAAATCAACACCCAGTAAAAAGGAATAGATATTTTGAAGGAACAGAATCACTTGGTAATTTTTTTTAGATGGATCATCTAATGTTTAAGTTTTGAATTAATGAAAGACACATGGAAGTAACATTTACTGAGTTTCTCCTATGTGCCAGATGCTTTATATAAGTTTACTTCATTTAATTTTCACAACTATTCCCTGATGTTCGCATTAATATTTATATCTTACAGACACATTTACCATGAGAAAAGAAACCAGGCCGATGGGTAGTAAAAGCCCAGGGTAATTCCACTACATGTGAAATGCCATCAGCTTGGAGTAGAAGCGACGGTAGATAGGATGATGATCTATCTTGCTGTAACTAACTTGTTGACTGGGCTTTTTTTATAGCTTGTGTCATTTCATTCATGTCCTCAGGGTGCATCTACCGTAGCTCAAAGGCCATAATTAAACTACTGAAAGCAACTTCATTTTTCACTTTAGAAGATAGCTGCTTCAGGTAAGAGCAAGCTTTCATATCCTATGAACTGTTAGTTCAGAATGCACTAAGTATTATAGAATATACTTATAAAACACAGATAACTTTAAAGGACTCAGATGTTTAGCACAAATAATATTTTTGTAGTAAATCCCATAATTGTCATAGATTTTATGATTACTCTTGCTATTATTAAAGGAGTCCTAATTTTTGTCCAAATTCAACGTATTTTCAGAAATGTTATCATTCAATTTTAAGGTAATTTCAACATAAAAACTTGTAAGTGTAAGATAAATACTAATAATAGCAAACATTTGTAGTCATAGTGCTATATATATTACAACATAATGTATACTCAGAGTGCTATATTTATATAATATATCATTTAATCTTCCGAATAACTATATAAATTAGGTGCTGTCAGTACTAACCTTGTTTTATAGATGCAAAAAATAGCTGTACTGTCCAGGACCATAGTCAGCAGCCACAAGTGAAAATTAAAATTAATTTAATTTCAATAAAATAAAAAATTTAGTTTCTCAGTATCACTAGCCGCATTTCAAATGCTCAATGTGCCTTGTGGCGATCATATTGGACAGTGCAGATGTGAACTATTTTTATCATTACACCAAGTTCTATTGAACAACCAAGGTTTAGAGAGTTCAATTGCCTTGTTCCAATTTAAAACTAAATACTGAGCTGGACTTGAGCCCATGAAATTTATCTGTAGATCCTGTACTTCCCTTTAAAATCAGTTTTTTTTTTAAAAAAAAACTTTATTACAAAATATTTTGAAATAAGAGAGAAAATATAACCCTTATGTATAGCCATCACCCAGCTTCAACAGTTCTCAATTATTCATTAATGCCCTGCTTTTAACCATTATTCTATACTACCTTTTGCTTCTCTTCCTTAATTATATTTGTTAATGAAAAATTATCCCTTATTCAGAATAGAACATAGGGAGGCAGTATAACATAATAGTTAAGAGTATGGAATTAGAAAGCAGACGATTTGGGTTCAAATTTTGGCCCTACCACAAAGTTGTTATGTTCTTAGATGAAAAGTTGCTTAATTTCACTAGGGCTGAATTTGCTCATCTTTATAATTTTCTCCTATATATAGACATCTATTATTTTTTCTCTATATTCAACATTGTCAGTTATCTTAATTCTTAAATTTTTATCTAAGATACAAATTCAAATACATTTATATTTAAGATAAAAAATTCAAATAAATGTATTAGAAGGTAATTGTAAAAGAGGCATTTTTTTCCACAGATGTTTTATATATCCACCTCCAAGAATATAAAGGTAAAATGACTCAATACAAAATTTCAACTATAATAGAAATATATAATATAGGAAGAAAAAGTTTTATTCGCAGTGCTTTCTTAATTTCCCCAAAATAACCAGGTACCCAGGAAAAAATAAAACAACCTATTGCCCCCAACAGCTATTTATAAAGTAATTGTTTAATTAATTCATTTGATTAATTTATTAATGTTGCTTTATATATATTCTAAACATAATTTTTAACTTTACATTTAATCTAAAAATAATTTTCATTTATGTTGACATTTAGAGCATAAATGTGATTTTGAATTATTTTATTAAATCATCAAAAAATTAATATCAGGAGTAATGTTCTAGACCAATTATTTTGGTTGGGGTAGAAACAAGATAACATAATAATTCTAATTTAACAACAACAAAAAACCACTTATGCTTTGGAGTTAATAACCAATATTTTTATATTTTTGGTTATATAACTTAGGAAACCTGAATTTAATAACTATCTTCTCCTTATTGTTTTCTAATTCCTTAAATTAACAATTTCTACTCCCATCTAATTCCCTGCTTTGATATTTATGAGTTGGTTAATAATCTGTATATTAGAATAATTTTTTCTAATAATCTTTGAATCTAATAACAAGCCAATTAGCCAACCATCCACAAGTTAAAACTTCTTTATGTATAGCATCATTCTTTTACTGCAAATCAGAAAGACTAAAATGATTATGTAGATGAACTTGTAAAAGAATTTGGACAATTATTAAATGGACCAAGTCTTCTGGATAAGTGCCATGTAAGAAAACAATTTTAATCTAAGGAAGTGAAAGAAATTTACTTATGTACATTTAGGTAATTCATGGGTTAAAGATTCAGGGGGAGAAAAGCTTAAAAATTCCTTGGCAAAGTCAACATGAATCTAAGTAAGTGCGCAGATTTTATGTTTTAAAAGTAATTTTGACTCCACAAATGGCACCTGGTTGTGTTCCCCCTCTCGCTCTGGTCAACCTGCAACCCACAAAGATATCTAGCGGATCCAGGCCAGGATACTGTCATGTGGGTGGATGCTTTGTTAAAAGTGTAGCCTTGTTATGCTCAGGCTAAAACTTCTGACCATAAAGTGGAATATGAACACCTAATGTGATGTGACCTAGTTTTTCTAATAGAAATTCAACACTCATTACATTTAAAACCACCATCATTAAATTTTTTCTTCACATTTTACAAAGCATATTCATGCATAGCAGTATCATGTTTACATCTTTATTATTCAAATAGGAGATTTATAGATGGTTTACCTGACATCTTTCTCAAGCTGTGTGATACACTCCTTCAGTGAATCAATCTTAGAATCTCTCTGACGCACGGATTCAATGAGGTATCTGTAGGGCTGTTGAGTTTGGTTTAACAGAGAATTGGTTCTGTCAAGCTGAAGAGAAACAGATTTCATTAAAATCGAGAAAGTTTTACAAGAAACTAAAAGTATTCGAAATGTTCTAGTACAGATATAGCACATCGACTCGCCCTTACATTAATTACTTTGAAAAGCTTTTCCTGTGTAAATTGGGAAGTTTTAAAAATTACTAATTATTATAGCTATTCTTAATAATAATAATAAAGACTATGTAAATAGGGAAGAAAATTTTAAATAAAATATTGTTGCTAATTTGAGGGATGGTTTATCTATATTTTCTTACCATTCATTGGTCTGAGAAGCTATGTGGCATAAAATTTATCTTCTTTTAATGAATATCTTATTAGCTAAAAATAAAATTCTTTTGAGCTTTATTTTTATTCAAAATAATGTGATAAAAATTTAATAATTATTTTATACCTTCATATTTCCTTCCACTTATATCTGTAAAATAGGTAATTTTTAAAACATTTTTAAAAAATTGATTTGAGAGAGAGAGAGAAAGAAACATCGATTTTTTTTTCCATTTATTTATGCATTCGCTGCTTGATGATTCTTGCATGTGCCCTGACTGGAGATTGAACCTGCAGCCTTGATGTATGTGGACAATACCCCAACTGACTCATCTATCTGACCAGGGCATAAAATAGATAACTTATGTACCTAAATCACTAGTGTAATTTAAATTTTTTAAAGAAATTGTGGTTAAAATATAAAAAAGCATAAAATTTACCATTTTAACTATTTCATTAAGCATATTCACAATGTTATGTAACTATTGCTAGTATCTATGTCCAGAGCATTTTCATCAGCCCCAAAAGAAACTCGGTATCTATTAAGCCAAAACATTTCCCTCACCACCCCCACCCCCACCTCCTGGAAATCTATATTCTACTTTCCGTCTCTGTGAACTTGCCTACTCTAGGTATTCCCTGTAAGTGAAATCACATAATATTTGACATTTTATGTCTTATTTTACTAAATGTAATGTTTTCAAGGTTCATCCATGTTGTACCATATTTCAGAACTTCATTCCTTTTTATGGCTAAATAATATTCCATTGCATGTTTGTAGTACAATTTGTTTGTTCATTCATCTATTGAGTGTTTCCACTTTTTGGCTATAGTGACTAATGTTGCTTTGAACAGTGCTGTGTATCATCTGAGTCTCTATTTTGAATTCCTTGGGCATCTATCTAGGAGTCAAGTGGAATGCTGCGTCATATGGTAATTCTATATTTAACTTTTTGAGGAACTGCCAATTGTTTTCCACAGTGGATGCATCATTTTACATTCCTACCAGCAATGTACTTGGTTCCAATTTCTCGACTTCCTTTCCAAAACTGCTATTGCATGTGCTTATTGGCCATTTGTATATCCTCTTTGGAGAGATGTCTACTTAAGTCTTTTGCTCATTTTATAAGTAGGTATTTTTTTGAGTTGTAGGTTTCCTTTATATACTCTGGATATTAAACCCTTTTTAGATCTATAACTTGTAAATATTTCTTTGTTTCTCTGATGTGTCTTTTCACTCTCTTGACAATGTCTTTTGTACACAAAAGTTTTTAACATTGATGAATTTAATTTACCTATTTTTTTTCTTTTGGTGCTTGCACTCTTGGTGTCATTTAAAAAAACCATTGTCAAATCCAAGGCCATGAAGATTTTCCCCTATGCTTTCTTCTGTGAGATTTACACCCTTAGCTCTGAAATTTAGGCCTTTGGTCCATTTTGTCTTAGTTTCTGTATTCAGTGTGAAGTATGGTTCCAATTTCCTTCTTTTACTGGTAGATATGCAGCTTTACCAGCCCCATTTGTTGACAAGACTCTTTTCTCCATTGAATGGTCTTGGCAACCTAGTGGAGAAACCATTGACCACATGTGAGGGTTTATTCCTAGACTCATTATGCTCTTCCTTTAGACTGTATGTCTGTCCTATGACAGCACAACATTGTTTTAATCACAGTAGCTTTGTAGTAAGTTTTAAAATCTGAAAATTTGAGTCCTCTAACTTTGTTTTTCCTTTTCCAGATTCTTTTGGTCATTCAGAGTCCCTTGAAATTCCACATGAATTTTAGAATGGGTGTCTCTGCAAAAAATGTCATTGGGATTTTGATGGGAAATGCACTGACTCTGGAAGTCATTTTGAGTAGTGCCATCATCCTAACAACATGGTCTTCCATGAGCATGGGATGTCTGTGCCTTCATCAGGTCTCCTTTACTTCAGTAATGTTTTGTAGTTTTCCATGTGTAAGTCTTTCTCTTGATTGATTAACTATTCCTAAGTATTTTTAATCTTTTTGAGGCTGCTGAAAATGTAATTGTTTTCTTAATTGCCTTTTTGGATTGTTCATTGTGGTATACTATGTACATTTTATACTATACATTTTCACTTTACTTATATCATTACCATTTTTCCAGATTGTTGGAGTAACTTAAATTTACATTTTAATGGTTGCAAAGCTGTCTAGTATGCTAATGTGCCATAATTTTATTACATTGCTTATAGGAATAGACATTTAGGATGTTACTAATTTTTGACTAGTATACATAGTGCTATGAGAAATTCTTTGCAGTGCAGATATATTTTCTTAAATTAATATTTTATTTGTTCAATTTTCTTTCAGTACATACAATATACTAGGTTAAGGGGTATGACTATTTAATGATCTTGACATATAGACCAAAGTTACTTTTTAAAGGATTTTATTTAATTATATACCCAAATCAACCTTAGTATTTTTTCTGTTTATTTGTATTTGCTGTTTTTTCCTAAGCAAATGTAAAATGTATACAAGTAGAGAGGAAACATAGCACTGTCAGTTTTAGCAGGATCCTACTTTGGTGTACAATGAGCTCTCAAAAAACATATTATAATATTGTAGATGCAAAAGCTGAACAATCACAACAAAACTGCTGGGTATCTATTATAAGGATTAGGTGATGGAGAAGGGAGTATCTTATTACATAAAAAAATTATACAATTCTGAAATAGTGTGACCTTAAAATGTTCTTTGACAATAAAACTGTAGTCTTTTATATGTTTAAACATTTTTTCCCTCTTTTCTTCATAATCCTAACAAGTTCAATTGAGGCTAAGGACTTGCTGTGTTTCTGGAACAAGAGATGATTTTTATTTTTTCTCAAATGAAGTACATTTACAAGATCAACATTTAAAAAGCTAAGACCTGAACATATTTATTTTAGCATTGCAATTTTTTGGTTTTCTGCTCACACAAAAAAAAAGAAAAGAAAAGATAAGAGTGACTAGCAGCTGAGGACCTGAAAATATAGAGAGCAGCAGGATGGGTAATGGTGGAAGGTCAAGTTGAAGGAAGAGAGAATCAGATGGTGGGGGAGAGGGGAAGAAATAATCATTTTTAGAATCATCAGTTATGAGGTCCAGATGGGTAAGCAGAAAAGTGAAGCCAAGAGGTGACTGAGCAACTGTTAAAGAATATGTGCTTGCAGTTTGGGAACTACTTTGTAAAAGTGATTTAAATTATTAATTATATTAGAAAATTTTCTTTTGGTTATATTAAGTATAGTTCAGTAAGAAATACCATGAAGAGAAGGAAATGAATAGTGAAAGAAAAGACTTCTTTTTCTGGACACATTTCATTATAGTGAAAGCAGAGCCATAAAGAAAAGAATACCGTGAATATTTTCTATAGTTTGGGTTTTAGTGTCTTTTTACTTGCTTTGGTAATCGTTCTTTAAAAATCTATTACAATGTCAGTGGAATCTTATTACTCTACTAAGTTACTTTATGAACATTCAAATATGCAGCTGGACAAAAATAAAACTAAGTTCTACTTACCTGCATAACCAGTTTCACTAGTCAATTAAATCAAACAATTGCCTTGACTTTGTTTTCACAAAACTGACCCTAACTGAATAAACTGAACTGACAAGTTGCTTTGTGTTTCAAAGTGCAGAACAATCTGAGAGAGAGAGAAAGAGAGAGAGAGAGAGAGAGAGAGAGTGTGTGTGTGTGTGTGTGTGTGTGTGTGTGTAGTGGGGCGGGGAGGAGGAGGAGGCACAAGGGAGGAGCCAGGTAGGGAAGGACTAGGGCATTTACAAATGGTAGTTAGCTGTGGTCTAGAATGAGCTATGTTTAAAACTTATCAAGTCTAATTTCAATCACTTAAAAATATAACAATGATTATTAACTAGTCTTATTTTAGTTCCTTTTCTTTCATTACAGCAATTACATATATTAGGTTTTAATACTATAAAAAAATTACGAGCCGAAAGCTGTATTTTCGAAAGGTATCTTTAATATACAACTTACAAACATCCCTGTCTGGATAACAGAAACTACTATAGTACTGCTGTCAGTTTTAAGGATATGTTTCTTTATAAGTTTGTTTGTAGGCTTCTAAATCCCCCAAATTGATTTTAATTCCTCAGGAAAAAAGGTACATGTTTCTCAATTTAAAGTGATATTAATTTCTATTTTTGAAAAATATAATTTAACAGTTTAATTCCTCCAAATATGGTTTAAAAAAGCCTTTCTGTAACTATAATAATTAGTATTCAAATAGTTTTGCAACCACTCTCCTTGCTTATTGTTAGTAATCTCTTCCTTATAGGAAAGCTTTAGTAATTAGTGACTCAGGAATCATACGTAATAAATGACTCAGGACTAAACCTATGACACATTTTATAGAATTTTTATTCCTCCTTTGTTTCAATAAACTGTACATATGATTCAGAGAAAAGCAATATCAGATTATAATTACGCATTTTGATTCACACAGTAATTTAACTTATTCTTATATATTTTCCCTTAAAATTTAAAAAACATAATGGTGACTACACTTTGTTGTGTTGTCCTGAACGTGAACTTTTTTCTTCTGTAGTTTATTTTGAAAGAAACTCCTAGAAATGGAACTCTTTCTTGCCAGGGACAAAATGTATTCTATTGAATGGAATTTAACTTTGAGTTACTTCCTGGGTACAGAATGTATACAAGTGATATTTTCCAGTAATGGTGATAGTTTGTGCTCCAAA